TGAACCTGGGTGGGGACAATCATCTCTGTTTTACAGGAGGAGGGAAACTGAGGCAGAGAAAGCACCCAAGGTCCTTCAGCAGGTCAGCAGAAACACCAGAAATACTACTCTCTGGGCCCTTTTATCACAGGACTTTGAAAGTCAGGGCTCCTTTAAAGCCAGTCAGTTTATTCTGTCACTGATTATTTTAGAAGTGTGACACACATGACTGTGACTTTAGGGCTCGGTCACCACTCTCAGCTCTGCAGCTCCTTTTGCTTCAGAAGGGCCTGACAATATTTGCAAACTGTGTACAGTCAGCCCCGGTGAAATGCGGCCACCTCTGGAGTGAAGCGCTGTGTACACATGACACGCAGCATTCTGCCAAAGGGCAAAGGAGAGAGACATTTCCGGGCCACAGGAAAAAAATAAAAAGAAACTTGGTCTATTCAGAATTCCCCCTTGGGATTTTAGAGGTCATGAAGAAAGCACCTGGGTTTTTTAAAGGTCTCTTTTGAAAGATCCACCCACAGGATGTTCCAGGGACCTCAGTTAATCACTTATCAAACACTTGGTCCAGCAGGGATAGCAGGATTCAAACCTGTGACCCCATGGATCCTGCACTAGGATGTCTCTTCGTCTGGGCTAATGGTCCCAGGGTAGACCCTTGACTACACTGCTGAGTGGCGTCATCTTCAACTGCTAAGCTGTGCTGTGCGCGAGCACCTCTGACACAGGGACCTGTATTGTGCAAGCAAGCCCTTGCCTGGGGCAGCTAAGAACGGCCCGAGGAACAAGTGCCAGCAACAAGAAAGTGCTGAAAAGGAGGCATATCCTGTCCTGAACGAGCAAGGCACACCCTGTGCCAGAGCACCATACGGAGGGACAAAGGCCAAGACACTAAACCCACAGGGCCAGATCCTGATGCCTCTCCGCAAGGAGTAACCTACACCCATAGGCCGGTGGAGTAAAGTGCTGTTCAATCCAGATCATCACAGCCTGCCCTTTAGACACTTAGCTGGGGCCCTTCTTCTTTAAAGAGCACGGTGGAAGAAAGCTGTTAGCAATTTTTCCTCTCCCCACATGCCCAAAGGAAGCAGCTCGTAAAGCATCAAGCTGCGGCGCTTCAGCTTAAGAAACAAAGATGCCTTTGAGCTGCAGAAAAAAATAAAAAAATCAAAACACACAACCCTTGGCCCCATGGCACCAGGTTCTGTTTTCATCCTCCACTTTCGGCTAAATCAGAAACAAGGCAACAATAAAAAAATCCCACTAAAGGAAAAGGGGCTGGAATTTCCTGCCAGGTTTTCCACCCTGGGCGACTTTTACCTCCGGGTATCATCACCCTTTCGGAAATACTGACACAGGAGCCTCACCACGCAGAGGCCTGTCTGAGTGGAAGGGATGACTTTGTTTGCAAAAACCTGTCACAAGACTAAAAGCATTCGGCTTTTCTCTAGCTTTTTCATTCTTCCAACTTCCCCCGCCCAGGCTGTAAAACATGCATCTTTCGCTCCCACCCCGGTGGGTGTGTGTGTTATGTCCTCACCTGTGTCTAACTGGAAGGGGACAGGAGTCTGGTTCAGCCCCAGCTCTTTAGCTCTGGTTTGTGGGTCTGGAAGCCCCCAGTTCAAGCCCAGATGGTGACCATCACACCTACAGACCCCTTAATCCCTGTCAAACGATTTCCTTCCCAATGGGAAAATGCGTCTAAATCTACCAACAAGGGGTGCTCCTGAGAGGTGACTAGCTGCCTAAAGGAGAGGAAAGGAATTGAATTTCATCCTAGCCGAGCAGCGGCTGGGAACCAGCGAGAGCAAAGGTACTCACCTTGTCCAGGATGTATTTGTTGAGGTACGGCATGTAGCCCTGGCTCGAGACCGGCCCGTCATCGTCATCCCGGAAATGCTCCTCCAGTGCCACCGGGTCGTGCGGGATGTGAAGTACCGTGTACAGGTTGTGACTGAGCACCTGGCACAGAAAGAAGAACGTGCTCTGCATGGCTTCTGGGCACCGCTCTCTGCGATAAAGAAAGGTGCCCCGCACTGACACACTGCCTGTTCTCGTGTGCCCTGGGCCGGGGTGCTGCGGTGTCTCAGCCCCTATCCCACATTCGTGTCCAAACAACTCTCCAGAAGTCAGGGAGGTGCTACCACGGGGGTAACAAGGGATTCCTGGAAAGCTGCATCCCAATGAAAGGGATACGCTTCAAAGGGGAGGCAGCTCTGGGGCCCACGGCCATTGATTTCCCCATGTAAAGCAGAATACTTTCTACCCCCTGTAGCCAAGGAGGAGACACAAAACCTCAGGGTAAGAAACAAGCTCATACTGAGCTGCTCTTGGCTGGAGCAATTTAGATCTGGTCCCTGAAGGTGTTACTTGTGTTGGGCAGGTGTCATTTGAAATGCAGGTCCAAGGATCGTGTCAAATTTGAGATGTGCTTTCCAGGGCTTCTAGGATGCTACATCAGTGGGATGGAGGAGTGCCTGTGCACACAGCTTTGTGGATAAAATGTGAGACAGCCTCAAAAGACAGTCCAGGGACAGTCGCTCAGAAATAAAATGTGCTTTGGCTCCATTGGCAGCCACAGGGCATTTGTTTTCCATGAAGCAAGTGTACCAGCAAAAGCAATGCACTGGAGAGGAACAGTCACAGGATGAGTCTCATGCTGGCTGCCAGGAACATCTGCCTCTCTTTCCAGATTCTACATAAACAGAAGCATTTTCCTCAGTCAGCCAGAAATTGGGCACCACTGGGCTCTGTTTAGCTGAGTGGGAATCGGAGTGCCAGGGAATGAGTGCCTTGTACTTCTAACCAGACACAAAGCTTAACACAAAATTGAGTGCAAACTCTGCTCAGCCTCTGGCTCCTCAGCCCATGCACTGACTGCACAGTCTCCTCTCCCCTGCTTAGAGGCTGGAGGGACTGGTTGCTTTCTCTTGCAGGTTTGCAAATGCTCCCAAAGGGGTTAGGAGGGGTCTTGGCAAGTAATAGCATCCCGCAGGCAGCACGGAGAGGCAACCGTGACAGCAGGCTGTGCCGTGAGTCCCAGAGGTCAGGGAAAGAGTGAAGCAGCTTCTGACAAATTGTGTTGGGATCTACATAAATGATCTCTGCATGTGCAGGCATGACTTGGATTTTGCTGAAAGCCCAGGCGGGATCTGTGGGAAATTCCAGCCTGCAAGACACATGTGGGACCTCAAAGGATGGGCTAGGCCAGCTGCAGAATTTGGGTGTGGGAGGGATTGGCAGCTGGGCTGCTTCTTGTTATGGAGACATGGCAGGGTTTTAGCCACCAGGGAGGGTGTGCTCAGGGCCTCTGTCCTTGGGAGTTGGCATAAACTGAGTTCAATCAGCAAGAAGAGAAGAATCAGGGCAGGCTTTGGCTTCCGGGAACAAGGGGAAACCACAGATTTCAAGGTGCATGGTGATCCTAGCAACCCACTGGGTAGAGTGTCCTAGCTGTCTGCTGGAAAGAGGTACAGATATAGCAAATCCCCGAGGGCAAAGAAAGGGGATCTTGACATACATGTACATTGGGTGTAGTGCAGAGCCTATGGGCTGAGGAGATGAAGTCCTGCATGCAACCTAATGTGAATGGCTAGACTACTTGCAATCAGAGCTGGTCAGAAAACTTTGCCAAAACAATTTTTCTTTGGGAAAAGCCAGTTTGATAGAACCAAAAATTGCCACAAAATCAGCAAAATGTCGATGGCATTTTCCTTCGTGATTATTTTAGAATTTCAAAATTTCATTTAGAGAGCTTTTACTTTTTACGGGTTTTTTTTTTTAATTATTTCATGGCATGTCCTATGTAGCAGGGCAAGGAAATAGTTTAAGGCTTAGAAACAAACACTGCCATGCCAACAGGACACACTCTGCTCTAGCAAATAGTTTAAGAGTTTCAGGCCTTGTTAAGTAGGCAGCTGCCCTTAATGCTTGTTGTTTTTTTTTTAAATAAAGGGAAGATAAAATACATCAAAATAAAGAAATACTCTTTCAGCCAGCAAGTCACATTCTGACACGTCAGGAAGCGTAGTGCCACTGGCACATCATGAAAGAATGTCATGTTACATACACTCGAAAAAAACCGTAAGATAAAATCAAATTTGAGACACCATTTCAAAATTGTAGCAGCCAGAAGCAACACTCTTGTGAACTAAAACATGTGCCAGAAAAGCCTTTTTGCAGGAAATGTCACCATGATTTATTTTCATTCCTGGTCAAAACAAAACTATTTCAAAATAACATTTCCCACAACCTGGGAAGTCTTCATTTTAACCAGCTCTGTTGAATTCCTCTGCAAGTGTGCTGGTGGGGGGCATGCACCTATGCTGTTTGGGACATAATAAAGAGAAGGGGGATGCTTGTTCATCTGAATACAGGGGTGTTAGCCTCGAGTAACCAGTCATCCTTGGCCTTTTTGCTGAGGCTGTCAACAAAAAGGGTGAATAGCACAAGCAGCAGATGTGCACACATCTGTTTACTGGGGAAAATGGAGTGAGAGCCTGCAAACCCACTTCCCATGACCAGCCCAGCTTGAGATCAGAATTAGGGGCTGCCCCAACACATTGTAAGAGATCATCCCAAAGAGTTTACCACCTAAACTGACCAGACAAGTGAGGAAAGGAGAAACAAAGGCCCAAAAAAGAGGAAGTCTCTCGCCCAGGGTCATGTAGCACATCAGTAGCAGAGATGGAAGACCCTCCAAGTCTGCCCACCCAAATATGCTGCCACTGCAGCACTGCCCGCCCACCCCTCACCTCCCTTGTATTTGCAGCGTGCCAGGCTGAGGCGTGCTGCGCTCTCGGCGGGTCGGGCTACATGGACCGGGTGGAATTTTCCTCTCGCTGCGCCTCTTGCCAAACAAATGATCAGTCTGAGGTTACCCCCCGGTGCTTGCAGTCTGTGGCTCCTCTTGCCCAACTGGATTCTTTCTCTCATTCGCCCCATGGATAGATAGGATCATTTTGACTCCACCCAGCATATAACTGCAGTGCATAAGAGAGCTGCAAATCCTAGCTCGTTGGCTATAATTATATAGTGCACGTACATGCCACAGCTCAGGTCAGGAGAGGGAAGGGATTGCATGAACCCCAGCATCCTGTCTGTCTCAATCTGGGCCATTACACCCTGCCAGCCCAGAGATTCAGCATTCAGTAGGCAAGATTCTTCTCTAGCCTATCATCGCCAGGCCACACCACCCCAGAACTAGCTGCATTTTGGTGGTG